GCTCATAAAACGTATGTCATTATTCATTTATGTACAAGCAGTGCACTCTATGATACACAGGTGGAAGTATTCTTTGAAAAGGGGAGACAAAGGCTATTTATGTAGCACCTCCATCGTTGCAGAAGCGATTATTCCAAATTTACAAAGTGAGACCTCTTCATGTTTTAAAGATCTGTGGATATTCGGGGTCATTTGGGACATATGCTAACCGTGAACTGGTCTATTATTATTATTATTAATATTTTCATCATTATCATCATCGTCATCATCGTCGTCATTATTCTATTCCGCAAACAAAGTATATCACAAATTAGAAAATAGGGCAAATCGTGGGGCGCCCTCTCGTCCACATAAATCGGACTATTTACTCACATCAGAGACGATAGTTGACTTGTACTGGCTATCATCGTACTCCCAACCCGCGTCGCAGGGGATGGTGCCGGTGCTCCCGTCGGTGTAGTTAGACGGGTCCATCCCAGGCCAGAATCCCACCCCTGACACGTTATATTTCTCACATTGGGCGTACTCCAGCTCACCATCTGACGTGTAGTTTGATGGGATACTTCCATTTTTCTTCGAGAGTTCGCATTCGGAGGCGGTAAGGCCATAGGCACTGCAGTCATTCGAGTCCCACTCAGGAACCTTATGTAATCATCAGTAACCATGCCAATAAAAAACAAGTGATAATAATAATAGTGGGTTCTTGTATAGCGCTCATGTCTGTCAGACTTGACACTCCTGGCGCTCCCTAATATTACTATTATCCTTATTACTATCACTACCATTATTATTGTTCTTATTATTATTACTATTATTACTAGTATTATTATCATCGTCATGAAAATTATCATTATTAATATTATTATATTCAATAATAGAAATAAAATGAAATTATCTTATTAATAACAGGAAACATAATAATTATAATAATATTGTTATTATTATTATTACTATTATCAGACGTAGTTGTACTGGTATTGTAATTAATAGTAACATTAATAATAATGGTAATGACAATAATAATGTTCTATTATTATCTTTGTTAAATGATATCATTGTTATTGCTATTTTCTGTATATGCTTTGTATGTTTCCTGTATTGTTCATGCTGTTTTTGTCTTGTATACCCTGCCAGTGACACAGTTGTGTATTGCATACTATTATGTCATGGACCTGGGTTCAAACGTTTATACTTCTTTGTTTATTACGCTGTATAAAGATGATACATAATCATTATTGTCATTGTTGTTCTTATTGATATTCAAATCAATGCTATATTTTGAAATCAGGCAAAATTATGATTTATATTGTCTATTGACAAATAAAGGTTACTTAACAGCTGTAAAAAAAGGACAATATTATTCAGTGGTTTAGTTAAACCCTTAGTCAAAGACTTACAACCCTGGTTGAATCCACCTTTGCTTTATTCAGTATTGAGTAGAAATATGTACTTAATACCAGGCGCGACGGAAGCTTTTTGGGATGGGGGGGGGGGGGCAAACATTCCAGGGGGCTCACCTTCCAGGGGCAGTGTCGTAATGAGCAAAAACGTTTGGAAGGGGGGGGGCAAAAGAACAATCTGCACCACCACCACTAGCTCTTACACGTTACATGCAGGCCCCGCGGAACGTTTTTCAAAGTGGAGTATTAACGATCAGGTAGAGCGTAAATTGGCGTGGGGTCCAGGGCCTGAGCCCCGGCAGGGGGTCAAGGGGCTGAGCCCCCGGAAGCTCAAGGTTTTTAGGCATTAAATTAGGTCAGATAAGCATATTAAGATACCTTATTTGTGACACTGGCAGGTCATTAATTGACGGAGAGTCCAGGGAGCAGAGCCCCCGGAAGCTCGGAGGTTTTAGGTATTTAATTACGGTTAGATGAGCATCCAGGGGCCCTCTTTAAGGCCATTGATGTGGTCCAGGGGGCAAAGTCCCCGGAAGCTCAGGGGTTTTAGGTATTTAATAACGGTCAGATGAGCATCCATGGGCCCGCCTTAGGGCCCTTGATGGGGTCCAGGGGGCAGAACCCCGGAAGCTCGGGGGTTTTAGGCATTTAATTACGGTCAGATGAGCATACTTTGATACCTCATTTGTGACATTGGCAGGTCACCTATTTTTTTTCTCTTTTTCTTTCTTTTTCTCTCTAACATACTTTTTCAAAAAGTGAGGAGGCCTCGAGCCCCCGAGCCCAGCCGATCTGTAGACCCTGACATAAAGGCTTCGAAATAAGCGTATATGTTTTGCCCGACTGTAAATTTGGGAATTTCTAATTTTCCAACAAACGCATAAAAAGGTATGACTTACAAAAATATTGAGAAAAAATACCGGAAAATCATGTCATTTCCGCAACATTTGTAAATCACTGGTATCGAATGAGAAATATATGGAAAAAATGGGGGGGGGGGGGGGTGCAAAAATCTGTTTTGCCACCCCCCCCCCCCCCCCCATGCCCCCTCACTTCCTGCGCCTATGGTTAATACTAATAGCTTAGTACATGTTTTTACTCACAAAATTCTACTCAACTAAGCGTCACCCAGAAAAAATCATACTCAACATTTGAGCAAAAAATTGCTAAAAAAAATTGAGTCAAAACATGAACAGGTTAATTTAGTAAAATTTGGCTCAACTCATGAGCAGTTTCTTACTCTACATGGGTTGAGTACGTTTCTACCCAAATGCTGAGTAAAAAAGGAACCGCTCAACAAAGGAGTTAATATTGAGTAAAGGTTGACTCATTCAAACTGAGTAGAGATTTGGTCTTTTATGATTCTTACTTAATAGATTAGTAGATTTGTTACTCAACACAGACTGAGTAAAGTTTACTCAAAATTTGAGCGGTTCCCTTTTTACTACTAAAAACAGTAAAATTTTACTCAACATTGAATAGTTTTCATTTAGAGTGTACTGTCCTCTCCGAAACCAAAGAGACTATGTATATAGATGGTAATCATCATCATCCTTGTATAGTTGATTAACAGTACTGATAACGTGGAAAGGTGTAAACACACACAATAAATGCAATTAAATGGATGGAAAGTCTTAATTCTTCCAGATATACATTACATGATGGAATTAAAGGGGGTGAAAGTAGGTTGTAAATGGATAGGATAACAGGAAGATGTTAGGTAGTAATACCTACCTCATGATGAATTATAATCAGGCCAGTTTTTATAAATCCATGTACTTTGTAGACTGTTATTACAGTCATCTATCCATCTACTGATTATGGTTTGGAGAGGATACTTTCAAACAAGCGCTGTATATTGCACTTCAATAAGAAATAGCACAAAGTAGCAAAAAAAAAACGCAAAACAGCTAATCTTTCGATGTTTAAAAAGTGCTCAAATTTCATAGTAGCATTTGACAATTTTGAAATGTTGACACGTTGTATTTCTAGTATAACTTAGTATTTACACATTATATGGTAGGTATATAAATTTAAACAACAACAATAATTATAATAGGGTGTTTTTGTAAATTGCTCATGTCTGTCAAAATAACATTTCTGGTGCTCCACAATTATTACCCCGGCTTTTATGGCTGGCATTATAGCGCTCAGGTATACCCATTTACCTCACCTGGGTAGTGTGTATGAAATGTAGATTAATATCTTGCCAAAGGACGTTAGTGCCGTGGCAGGACCCGAACTACGAACCATTCTTCCATTAAATGGGGGACGTGCCCCCATACCCCAACTCTCCCGCATAATGCAGAATAGATATAAACTCAATAATTCGACTGTGATTGGAGGGGGCGTGGATTCCAATGCGCCCCATGGCTACGCCAGTGGTTTGATATATTAATAACAATAATAATGGTGGCTTCTTGTATATAGCGCACATGTACGTCACGTTGTGGCGCTCCTGGCGCTGCCCCGATTATTACCCTGGCTTTAGCAAGGCAGCCACTGCGGCGCTCTAACATTTCTAGGAATGAATTCCTGCCAGGTACCCATTTACATCACCTGGGTTGAGTGTGGCAAATGTAGATCAATATCTTGCCAAAGGACATTAGTGCCGCGGCGGGGAAATATTGAATTAAAGAGAAAACATTCTTCAACTTACCGCACACCAGTGATCTACATTAGCCCCTATAAACACAGTAATGAGGCTCTCCCATGAACTGGTGAAGACCAGTATACACACCAGGCTATACACTCTAATCTGATACGGCCCAAACTCTCCAACAATCTTCAAAATGTCGTCAAACTTCATATTTTCCTGACCAAGAGTAAGAGCGTGACTAGTTCCCAACAAAACATATCATCCTATGGAAGAGTTCGTTTATCACAACGCTTTGTTACATAATACAGGCCAAAAGTAGGAGTATTAGTGCTGACCTCGTTGTTTATCAGTGTCCACAAATTAGAGTTGACAATTCAAGTTATGCAATTCAAGAAGATTATAAGGCGTGCTATTTGCCAATGCATCAGGTGCTGATTCTGTTGACTGTCTGGTGGTGATACAAAGTAGTGTTTTGTACTACATGTCGTACGGGCTTAAATAGTTGATAACATAATCGATTAAGTCCTTGGCCTTTGTCGTTTGAGGTATTTACAAGGTAGAGTTATATTTACAAGGTAGTATTGTGTACTACATGTCGTACGGGCTTAAAGGGCCCATGACATCGAAGTACAAGTGCATTCCTGTTGGTGTGCAGTCCTGCATACATCTCATTATTTGATATGTAAACTTCTGAATTTGTTTCATAGATTTTGAAATATTTTTTGAAATATTTGTTTTTCAAACTTGCTAAGCTTCACCCTAAAAAACATCCAGATCTCATTGCCCTTGCGACATCATCTGTCAGTCATCAATGAGCTAACTTTCTATACTGTTTTCAAAATTTAGTTCTCCATGTGTGTGTGCGTCAGGGGGGCATTGGTTTCTTGAGCTATACATAAGTGCTTAATCAGTATGTAGATGTGCGTAAGAGACGTTTTATTGCAAATGTTAGATGGGAGCGGGTTGCGAATTTTTTTTTCCAAACAGGTTTACCTATGAGAGTAAAATCCTGCCTCCTGATTGGTTCAGAGGTATACGCATCATGAATATTCATGACTGAGCTGAAAGATACTAGTAGTATTACGCATGCGCGTGACACAAGGCGAAGCTGCTCATGCAGCTCATCGAAAGTTTGAGTTCGTTGATGCAGCGCAGCTATAGTAGGCTATACACTGCATGCATGGATATGCATGCGCAGTGATTGGCTCTAAGTTATAACTTTTACATGAGCTATTGTATTAGTTATGGCGGAGTCTACAAGTACAACTCTCTGCAATTTTGGTCGCTCTAAAGAAGAGAATACCGATTTCTTCTGCAAGAACCATACAAGTCTTTATGTAAGTACCACAATATTATTGTGAAATTGTAAATCGGCCCATCCCATACCGCCATAGACCTAGGCGAATTTAGTCTATGAATTATGGTGCAGCAGTTTGGTTAAAATTGTTTAGGCCTAGACTTCTAGATCTAGTCTACTGTTAGAGCTAGATCTAGGCTAATACCGTACTACTGAAGTAGATCTAGGCTACTACCCTGATAGCAGAGACTGGTAAATATCACGTCATATTTACGTCTTGTACTACGTCTTTAAGACGACATAACACGACGTCAAAAAGACATGATTTTGCACCCGCGCACGTCGTCACGAGGACGTCATATTTTGACGTGATTTTTACGTCTTATTAGTCAAAGAAAGACGTCTTTAAGACGTCAACTTGTACTATAGGAAGACGTCATATGGACGTCATATTTACGTCTTTTAGTTAAAGAAAGACGTCTTTAAGACGACATAACACGACGTCAAAAAGACTTGATTTTGCACCCGCGCACGTCGTCACGAGGACGTCATATTTTGACGTGATTTTTACGTCTTATTAGTCAAAGAAAGACGTCTTTAAGACGTCAACTTGTACTATAGGAAGACGTCATATGGACGTCATATTTACGTCTTTTAGTTAAAGAAAGACGTCTTTAAGACGACATAACACGACGTCAAAAAGACTTGATTTTGCACCCGCGCACGTCGTCACGAGGACGTCATATTTTGACGTGATTTTTACGTCTTATTAGTTAAAGAAAGACGTCTTTAAGACGTCAACTTGTGCCATAGAAAGACGTTGTATGGACGTCATATTTACGTCTTTTAGTCAAAGAAAGACGTCTGTAAGACGTCAACTTGTACCATAGGAAGACGTCGTATGGACGTCATATTTTGTCGTGATTTTAACGTCTTATTAGTCAAAGAAAGACGTCTTTAAGACGTCAACTTGTACCATATAAAGACGTTGTATGGACGTCATATTTTCTTTTTAGGTCTTATTGGTTAAATAAAGACGTCTTTAAGACGTCAACTTTCACCCAAGAAAGACCTGTATACGTTGTATGGACATCAAATTTTGACGTGATATTTACACCTTACTGGTCATTTCGATGTACCTTTTATCCTTACATGATCTTTACGTCTTTGTTGTCCTCTAAATAACATCTATACGACCACCTGATCAAGGAAGAAAGTGTAAAAGTCACTTCATGTACACATTCTGAACAATCACACAGTAAAATCAAAGCAACAAATATTGCATCACATAATATATATATACATGCCAAACAGAAAGTAATTTTCATATTTTTAATGTACACGTATATGGTATGAAAATGGATAACAAAAATATAAAATACGTATTTCTATACCTTCTTATTCTATCTAACTTTGTTTTCCATTGGTACAAAATCTTTTCATCACTATCCTGACACTTCTTCCAAAACATGCTGTATAAATACCTAGTGTATTTCTGTCAGTCTCATAATTTATTTTAAGAAAGTTAACAGGCCATCACAAAGATATCTGTTTCGTTATAAATTGTGCTACAAGAAACTATGACATATTGGCTAAACTTATAAGTCTTACGGTTGTGGGAAGCAGGTTAGCAGCATAGAGACTAGGTAAAGCTATACTGATACCCGCAGTATTTTAGTAGACAAGCAAACAGCACACTGGGGAAGTTCCTCATATTCAGCAAAACAGCATAGTGGAAAGCTAGGCATTCATCAGTGCAGCTCTACCTCGTCTCCATGCTGCAAAACCGCTCCTGACAACCCCAAGACTTTAATGCAGATAAAGACTATCACATAAAACAAAAGGTTGTTGGAAAGAATTTCTGAGCATGAAAGATCAATTCTTGTTACATACAAGGGGAATATCTAAGTTCATGGCAAGAATTCAGTATAAAGTATAAAACTATACAATCTAAATCACACACAGGAGAAAAATGGCACAAATGATAAACACATGGCTTAGCTAAGTTATTTCTTACACTCAAAAGGAACAAGTTGGCAGCAAGGGGAACAGGGAGAGCTTCACTGATACCTGCAGAGTTTTCTGATGATGGTTGCTTGCCCGTCAAAACCATGATGTTCACATTTGGCGATACAGCATATTAGAAAACTGTGCAGAAATCAGCTCAACTGTACCTATTCTCTGTGCTAGAAACCTGCTTCTTACGGGCACATGACTTAAATATAAGAAAAGGCATTAGTGGCAACATTCATCTTTATAAATATCAAAAAATTAGTTTTGTTGCAAATACAGAAGCTGAAGTTCAAGTATAAAATACAATTTATATCAGATAACATTCCCGCCAGTACGATTGGCTCAGTTGGGCAATTCCAAGGTGACGGTGGAATAATTATTCAGAAGATATTTCCCTGTTTAAGATAAAATAGCAAACATGCTGAAAAAGTTTAGCACAAAGAGATATATTCCATTGCTAATGTCACAACATTCATTTGGCAAGTCCCAGGAGTTTCACAAAAGAATTAAAATTTAACTTAAATTTTAACAGCAAATTCAATATACATGTAGGTAAGCCATATTGTGCTTTCAAAATCACAGATACAATCCAAGAATTTTATACTTTTAACTACCAATTTTTTTTTCAAACCACAAGGTATTTATGGTTTTCATTGAAGGCGCTACTGTGTGTCACTCTTTAACAGTTAATTCTCCCAACAAAATTTTCAATTTTCCCCAACCGTTTTTCCATGAAAATAAGATATAAAACAGGCCTTTAAAAATCTTTCAACGCCTAAATTTGGAAAAGGTATTGGAGCTAATTCGTTGCTTTGTGATGATTTACACTCACTTCAATTTAATCAAATTATAAAAATATAGTTGGGAGAATTAAGGAATGGATTAGATCAGTTTTCCCAATTTTAATCATCAATAGTGGTCTATTTTTAACTCAAATGTTCAGATTATCTTTAAGTGTACATACAGTATAGCATTGAAGTCAATACCTTAGCATCATTTTCTCTCATATGAACAATGTTACCAAGTCCCTTTAAGGCTCGTTCAGATATGATGCTGCAAAACAAAATCTCAGAGTTTTTTTAATGTTGACATAGAGTTCAATATGCTTTACATTTCTGTATATTATTTTTTAAAAAAGCTCACTGAATATGCGCAGTCCAAAACATACAAAGACTTGTTGCCATTCGCTTTACACATAAAACCAAACTGCATCATTTTCGAAAATTGTTGGCGGTTCACGTTCCGTATCTGAACAAGTCTTAGTTGCTTAATAATGGAATTGATTTGTATTGTATTTAACTCACTCAATTATTCTCTATTACCAACTTATATATAATTTGCAACAGGTTTTAAGAACTGATAAGAAGCGGATGGGGGGGGGGGGTGGGGGTGAGCATGAGACTGAGCATATCAAGTCTACTACATTTAAGCATTGTGAAACAGGTCAACCTCATAAATAGTAATTACAAATATATGCAAAATACTGGAATCTTTTACTCAAACTGTTATTATGTCAGTTCGTACACCCTGTAATTCATTAAAATTGTAAGTGACATGAATGGGAATTTCAGTTCCACAGCTTAGCCATTCAGGTTTGTGGCTACACCTCACCTCTCCCCCTCCCCCAATCTCTCTCTATAAATTATAATGAAGTGAAAAAAAACCCTTTTTTCTAGCAGTTTAACTATCGGGTGAGTGTAGATCTACATGTAATTTTGGACATATTCCTCTTCAGCTTGGACTCATGGGTTAGCTTTTGGGTGGAATCTCTGGCATTATGCACTGCTTTCAGATCCAGGGAACATAGACGCAAGGAATTCTAGTGCATGAATAAAGCAAAAAGAAAGGAATACAATTTGAGACAAACTTTTATATATTTTAAAACTGGAACGTAAACAATGAATTAAATAATGAATTATGTCAGAAAAGTACTGCTTGGTAAGATTTATCAGAAATAATTTCTTATTGCTCACAAACATAAAGTCAACACACCTTTGGATTTTAAACATTTGTGGGCAATGCAAAACGTGATTCAGGATTTCGTTTGGTAAATTATCAATACAATTGTAGTTTGCTGATGAGGGCCATGACTCACCAATCGGATTAGTGGAGCCATCGATTTGGAAATATTCCTCTTCAGCTTGGACTCATGGGTTAGCTTTTGGGTGGAATCTCTGGCATTATGCTTTGCTTTCAGATCCAGAAAACATAGACGCAAGGAATTCTAGTGCATGAATAAAGCAAAAAGAAAGGAATACAATTTAAGACAAACTTTTATATATTTTAAAACTGGAACGTAAACAATGAATTAAATAATGAATTATGTCAGAAAAGTACTGCTTGGTAAGTTTTATCAGAAATAATTTCTCATTGCTCACAAACATAAAGTCAACACACCTTTGGATTTTAAACATTTGTGGGCAATGCAAAACGTGATTCAGGATTTTGTTTGGTAAATTATCAATACAATTGTAGTTTCAGGGATGCCAGTTAGAATTGATCAGAGGGCCTGAAAAATCACCTAGAATGTGCTAGCTTGTACACAAAAAACCTAAACTACGGTATGAAAATAAGTCGCCAGGGCCTGAATTCAGGCTATTGCCTGAAAACTGGCATTCCTGTAGTTTGCTGATGAGGGTAGAATGAAAGCTCCTTGACCTATGCTGAAGGGTAAAAAAACACTGTTTGAACTTTGAAACTCACATAATATTGTCGGTTATTGCAACATACCTGCAGGTTTTAGTGATCTAAAATTAATTGAATTAAAAATATATTTGAAACTCATGACAAATAACTGAAATAAGCCTTTCAAATGAAATGAACCATTATGTAGTGTCTAATTGGTCAGTGTCTCAGTGATCATGCACAATATGACAAATAAATGTACAGAAATAATACAAGTACATGTACACATTTACCGATAATGGCTTCAACTGTTTCAAGAGGCTGCTGATCCTTAGGAAGTAGGGAACATCCACAAGGTTGAGAGAGAGTAGCATTTTCTGCATGGTTTCACATCAATATACT